AAAAAAGAAAAATTTGGCGAAATTTATTTTTCATTTGATATGTCACAAGGGCGGGTACCTTGCTATTAAAAAACAAGTTATGGGTAGGGGAAAAGGGGGGTGATTATCTCACAAATTCATGAGCCGATTTTAATTTTTTTTCACCAAAAATTTTCTTTTTTCATGCTCTTTCATTTGATATGTCACAAGGGGTACTTTGCTATTAAAAAAAAATAAGTTCCGGGGGTGTGAGGGGGGGAATATCTCACAAATTTATGAACCGATTTTAAATTTTTTTCATCAAACATTTTCTTTTTTTATGCTCTTTTATTTGATATGTCACAAGGGGTACCTTGCTGTTAAAAAAAAATAAGTTGGTGGCAGGGGGGGAAAGGGGGGGAATGTGAATGTAACGTTGAATTCAAAACAATTGGTCCCCCTACGTCAATAGATGATTCCCGCAAACTGCATATTTCTATCTATTGCGGTTTTTACATAAATAAAGATGCAAGTTTAAAAAAAAAACACCCTGTATACTGGAACAATGCAAGGAAAGTAACCCAGCTTTATAGATAAATTAAAAATGTGACGTAATATTGGGACAAAAATCTTAACATTTTCTTTTATAGTATTTATGGAAATACCATCAAAGCCAACAGACTGTTTATTTGGTTTGCTTAAGATTAAACTTTCTAATTCTACCTCAGTAATTTCAGATAAACGTAACCTTGAGCTGCACGCTAGACCTATATCCGGCATATCGGGGAATCCCGGCCCATACAATTCTCTAATCAGCTTATCCGGCATACCAGTAAAATAGTTATTGAATGAGTCAGCAACTATTTTTTCATTACCCTCAACCTGTACAATTTTATCATCTATATTAATCGATGTTAGTTAATTTCTTGACTTTCTCATAATTGATTTGCATATATTCCAATAAGACTTTGAGTCACCCTTTACTGCTTCAATTTTAGATGAGTAATAACTAATTTTTTCCCGTCTTTTCAAATTAGAACATTCTCTAGAGAGTTCTTTATATCTATTAAACAAATGTATGTCATAGTGCTTTTTCAATCGAGAGTGAAGTCTGTTTTTTTCATTTATCTTTTTAATTAGTGTGTCCGATATCCATGGAGTTCGATGCCTATTTTTACTGTTAATAGGCCTTAAAAAACTTGATTGATCAATACATTTATTATAAATATCGTAAAAAACTGTTAGAGATTTATCAACATCCTCACAATCAAACACTGGCATCCAGCTCACTTCAGCCAACCTTCTTTTTAAAATTAAATGATCTACAGCCTTGACAAACTCCTCTTTCAAATCACTATCACAACTCGTTACGCAATTTACATTAACTCCAGCATGATCAGCAAAGTCATAGTTTTCTAAATTACTATGAAAAATTAAATTAGTCTTACTTCTGATGAATACATGGTCTAAACACTTTACCCAATTTTCTCTCCCCCAAGTCGGCTCATTTATAAATGACTCAAAACCAAATGAGTTCATTATACTTAAATAATCAATGACACTGTTATTTTGTTCTAAAATGCATACATTTATATCTCCTAACATAATAGCTGTGTTTTTACAATTACTCAAAATACGTTGCAAATCATTGCGGAAAAAATAAAAAAACATATTTATAGTTTCTATACAAAGCTATTAAGTCAATTTCAAAAGGTTTATCATTTATGGTAAAAACTAATGTCAGTTTAATTAATTCAACTTCACGTGACTGAAAGCGTTCATAATTAAAAGTTAAATGATTAGAAATATAAATTACCACTCCACCAGAAGCATCTGACGTGTGGACACGTAGCCCAGCTTGTGCCGAGCGGCCAATGTGGACACGTAGCCCAGCTTGTGCCGAGCGGCCAGTGTGGACACGTAAACCAGCTTGTGCCGAGTGGTCAGTGTGGACACGTAGTCCAGCTTGTGCCGAGCGGCCAGTGTGGACACGTAGCCCAGCTTGTGCCGAGCGGCCAGTGTGGACACGTAGCCCAGCTTGTGCCGTGCGGTCAGTGTGGACACGTAGCCTAGCTTGTGCCGAGCGGCCAGTGTGGACACGTAGCCCAGCTTGTGCCGAGCGGCCAGTGTAGACACGTAGCCCAGCTTGTGCCGAGCGGCCAGTTTGGACACGTAGCCCAGCTTGTGCCGAGCGGCCAGTTTGGACACGTAGCCCAGCTTGTGCCGAGCGGCCAGTGTGGAGACGTAGCCCAGCTTGTACCGAGCGGCCAGTGTGGACACGTAGCCCAGCTTGTGCCGAGCGGCCAGTGTGGACACGTAGCCCAGCTTGTACCGAGCGGCCAGTGTGGACACGTAGCCCAGCTTGTGCCGAGCGGCAATGCCACGTGCCGATTCCAAACCGACAGGCTTTGCCTCCGGGAACTATCAAAATAATCAGGATGCGACCATGCTTAAAAACATTTTTTGGTTAATAGATATGGAATTTATAAATACGTTTAATATAAACCCAAACACGAGGTAAAAAGAATAATACCACATAATAAGAGTGATATTCTAAAATATATTCGTACTAACTAGGTAAGAAACACTGTTTGCACAATAAAATGAGTCAGTGTATTATAATTTGTATCTGTTAAGTCGTCACCATCGCCGTCTATAGGATCAAACACTTGTATCGTACATGACACTCGTGAATTGGTATGTTACATTTTCTTGGACTATTATGGCAGACAGTGTTAATAATAATGATTTTTAGTAAATTTCCCTATAGGGAAGTAGCTATTACCGTAGGTGGCACGGTAAGACCTAGACCCGGGACCGATTTACTTTTTCATTTTGATGTCCCCAGAGGCCAAAAACACCATTCGTTCAAATTTTTATATATGTATATATATATATATATATATATATATAGACATATATATATATATACGTCCGTGAACGCGATAACTTGAGTAATTTTTGTCCGATTTTGATGAAATTTGGTTTAAAGGTGTAAAGCGGGATAAACTTGAATGAGTTCGCGAACCAGCATGATCGGACCATGGGAACGGGGCTTTACGGGGGGTTTTATGGGGTAAAAATTGGTTTTTCTCACTTTTGACCCTCAAAACACAAAATTTCCCAATTTCTCTTTAGGCCTTTTTAAAGAGCTTAAAAAAACAATTAATTTAGTATATAAAAGTATTTTTGTTCGGTTAATAGTAACGGAGAAAATTAAAAAAATTGTAAATTTAAAATTCCCATGTTATTCTTATGGGGAATATTGTAAAATGTTGTAGTTTGCTTGTTTATGGATAGGGTATATTTTGAATTTTGATCAAATTTATTTATTTTGTACTAAGCTATCAATATTTTACAAAAAAACACACTTTATTAGTTTCCTTGTAGCAGCAAACCTAGGTACTCGTTAAACCTAAATTAAAATATATTTAATTGAAAATCAATTAAGACAAATGGAAATTCGCTTAGTCGGCAGGTTTGCTTCGGCGGGGGTATTTTGATCATAACTAATTTAAAACTGAATCCAAAATCATTATTTCTCAGCACAAACTGGACATTTAAACGTCGTTTTTCACCAAATGGTTTTCTACGTCGATTCTAAGAGCTTTTAAATTAAACAATCGGAGTGTTGGTAAAAAGTGGCAGTTGATGTATTCTGTTGAATTATTACTTTGTAAACAGTTGGAGTTGACGTTTCTTGATCTAATAGTTGGGTCGTTAAGATTTTTTGTAAAACTAATTAAATATTATCGTTAAACTTAAATAACGTTTAAAGATTTCTTATTTGTTCCCACGTTTTAAGTGTAGGCCTATACGTGAATAGGATAAAAGGCAAATCTTCACGTCATATGTATTGATTACCTAGATCTGATTTGTGTATGATATATCATTATTATATTATCTCTTCAAGATTATTTCTGTATTTTTTATACCACTCAATAATGTTCAAATTTAGTGACACTTGGTAAACTTGAATCTATAAAACAATGAAAACCCCGAATATGTCAATTGATTAAAAGTAGGTAGGACTGATATGGGTGATCACAACCACTATAGCTAAAACAACAGTTAACATTAATTTGTAAACGCTAAATTAAAATAAAAACAATGTTAAATAATATAAGTACTACCTAAATTTACGAATGACATTTTTAAGAAAGTCTTAAATTGTGTGATAGAAAGAAAAGGCTTTGTTATCCAATTACATGGCTATTATTTAAATATGGAAGCTAAGGAAGCGAGTAACTAGTTAGGAATATGAGTAGTGGCTTTTCATTTAACATGTTACTCTCGTTACAGGAGATAGACAAAGAAATCAACAGCAAAATAAGGCAGAGGGTTTTGTTACTTGCACAACAATTAGTTGTACTTTAAATAATTTTATTTTTTTTCATGAATATTTAATTATATTTTGTATTGCTTCAAGTCCTTGGATTCGCCTTTTATATATTTTTCGACCTATAAAAGTACAATGTGTATGTATTATGGACGTAAAACATCCAGAGGCTGACTATTTAAGTGACAAAACTTATTAACAGAGCAAAGTCTTTTAACTTAAAATAATTATCATCGAATTATACTTATAGTAGTAAATCCTTTATTCAAAGTACAAGTGACTAAATCTTCAGCCTATCCCAAGACTGATCCGTTGCTACAAACACCCGACATAACCTTTTTGAATCGACCAACTGTCAATTATTGTAAACTTTTATCTTGTAGATGGTGATAATATTTTCTTAGTAACTTTTGTCCACCCATTTAGGAGAAAATCAAAACAATACTTTATGGATCAATTGGTTGTTGAAAGAGACAATATTCAAATACAGGAATATATGCAGGGTGATCAAATTTTCGTTTTATGTACCTAGTTACAGACAATACTTTTTTATTTGTGAATTGCTAATAGTTTACTTTCTCAAGAGCATCACCCATAAAATTTTGCTGGGCTTGGATGTGATTTTAGGACAACAACTATACCTATGTTATTTTAGGATTGTGTATTCTATACGGTAAAGGAAACGTGTGTCTGTGTGTTATAGAGTAGAGCGATGGAGGAAATAGACCCGGAAGTATGGGAGAACACGACCAATGGAACTTTGGAAATCCTGGACATCGACTATCCGAGTCTGGAGGCTGTAGACACTCCCTTCCAGGTCTGTCTGGTCGTGTTGTTCTCCCTGACCGCTTGTTTGAGTCTGGGTGGCAACCTCACAGTCATAGCCATCCTCACGTTCGGGAAGAGGTAAGCAAGCTCCTTAAAATACTCTAATTGTTCCTAATCGATAACAAATAAATATGTTGATTGGATCAAACCACTATTTGCAAAGCAAAAAACCTAACCCGACGGCCTTGGAAAAATGTGAATCCAAAAAACAATCTTTATGTCTAAAAGTAGTAAAAACAATGAGCATTTTATTTATTTGAAAACATTATTATGGCTATAATTTTGATTGTAAATTAAGTTTTTTTTCAATAGCAGTACGACATTTCCAATTAATTGGGTTGTTTACTGCTTGCCTTACATTCTGGTTTTAATTTGGGTCTTAAAATAACTACCAACATTTTCAGTATTTCAACATTGGCAAATCATAAAACTTTAGCACCTCATAGCCAGGAATACAATTAGTTTATATATATATATCAACAACGAATGTCACCATATGGAATATTTTACTTTTGTTTATATTAAATTACACATTATTTTAAAGTTGTTATATAACATAAGTGTTGGATTGTTTTACTGTTTAAACGTTTAGGTACTTAGGTTTTTCCAATCGACAATAATATTTGAAACGTTTTAGTAAAGTCAGTTGGAGAGGCAATCCACTTAACAGATGGTAAAATGTTATGTGACGTTTAAATATTCAGCCAGTACTATCATGGTAGCGGGTTTTTATTTGTAAAACAACTGGGGCACTCAGTTGGATTCAGGAAAAAGCACACATGTTTTAAAGTCATATTTCTAGCCTACGGAAGTAAAAACACAACGTTTTTTGTGACCCATTTTTGTTATAAAATCACTATTATTCCTTTGATGAAAAATGTGTAACTGATGATTGTATGTAATTGTATGTAATGTTACACTTTATTTTAGTAATAAAGATATTTTACAGCATTGCAAAGTTTCCTAAATAGGTACATGCATAAGAAAATTCTGACATTACACAGGTAATGATTTCCTTAAATCATTTTGCTACTACCCCTAGCATAAATTCCACACTCAGAAATCTGGTTTAAATTCCTGTAGACACGTTTACTCGTAATCGTCCTCCATGGTCTTATTCGGTTAAAATTACTTGTGTTATTCACGAACATTTTAAGGCAATAAAACAATAACGATTGCCAGGTAAAAGTGGGGAGTAAATTTGAAACTACACCAGTTTATTCATTCGACGTTGAAAGTGTTAAGTGCATAGACACTTGAAGGAATTCACCATCAACCTGACAATATTCAACATCACTATGTTAATAATCATTTCATGTTGTGTTTGTCAGAGTGTCCTGTCGTACAGTAGAGGCCTACGTTGAAGATCATTAGGATCTTGAGGTACTCATCGTCAACCTGGTGATTTTTAACATCACTATTTTAATATTGATTCCATGACGTGTTTGTCAGAGAGTGCCGTCACACCGTAGCCTATATAGTGTAGGCCATCGGGGTACTTGAGGAACTCATCATCAAACTGACACTATCTGACATTCATGCATTATTTTTCATACTAATTTATATACAAAACCAAAGTAAAAAGTTGCAACTGTATTTTACAGGTCGTCAGGGGATTTGAGGGCTTTCCTCATCAACTTGGCCGTGTCTGATGTCACTATGGCCATCTTCTCAATACCCTTCACATATACGCTGTAAGTAGTCAGTTGACACTGCGCTGTTTGCTGATTGAACCACGTTACGTAATTTTACTCGTTATATGCCAGCGCAGACCAGACAATTTTTCAATGTAAAGTCACGCAGTTGAATGTCTCTGGAATATTTGTGGGCCAGGACTTAAAGGACAGGGATACATTTATTTCTGTTTGCACCAAACCTCAATTCTTAACCATGACAGTAAGAAGTTACGTGAGTTTGTTCTTATGTTGTACATGTAAAATAAGAAACATTTTATTTCCATTTAATGAAATGCACACAAGAAAATAATACTTTCATTTTACATATTTCTTCAGTGACCTCCAAATGGATTGTTTTTATTAATTGTTGGAAATGTTTAACATGTTTATCCCCCAAAATATCCTTATTATATTCCAATACAATTTGAAGTAGCCTTATAAAATGTTTTTTTCGACAATTGTTTCTTGCTTTTGTGGTAATAGAAAATTAAAAAGAGTATACAGCAAAACAATTACTGAAACTATTTAAATTGTATGTTTTGTTTATAAAAAGTTAAAGCTTTATAAAAAACCTATACTGTATTGGTATTGGTAGGTTTCGTAAGTGTAGGAATGTTTTGGCGTACCTGTTAATATACAGCCACTGCGCAAATCGTGCTTACGTGATTGACCCAGTAATTACCATGTGGTTTCACAGAAACCTTTGTACCTCCATACAGCAATCGGAACAAAGGTCTAAAACTCAGCACAACTTTTTCAAAACTATAACAAAGCTCGTTACGAAACTAGGTTTTGATAATAATGCATTGAAAAGAAAAGCATCGAATTAATTTTTAGTTTTTACTAGAGGACCCATGCTGATCCACAGCGTTAAAATAAATACAATATCAGAGGAATAATCAAACTTATGATTTTTGATTAAGTCCGTAATGTATCTTGAGCTTAATTTATTCAAACTATAAATATATCCCAAATTAAAGCCTATAATTTACTGATTATTTTGATTCTAAAACATATAAAAAAACTTGAACAATACTGGAGCTAATAATGTTTATTCATAGAAAACCCTTATGGAAAACAGTTTTTATGTTAATTGTTCACCTTGCGTTTCCTTAAAACTCGTCTGATTTGAATAACTCATAGCTTAAATGAAAGCATGTATTTCACTGAAGAATGGTCTGGAAGCATGTATTTATTCATAGACTGAAATTAATAGGAGGTGAAATAATTGCGTGCATGCCTTCAATTTGAGACCTCAATCATGATAATCGGTCGGGTAGAAGAGCCGGAGTCGGAAAAGAAAAACCAAATTGAACTCCCATTAGAAATGCATTAGAATCAAATTTTGTTTACGTATAAGCCGAGTGGTATTATAGATAAATATATGTCGATGCTTAATGTGAAATATGTTCCTGCATACCTTCAATTTGAGACCTCAATCATGAAAATCGGTCGGGTAGAAGAGCCGGAATCTTAGGTCATCTTGTATACCATATTGTAAATTGGTTCTTGACCGTTTGAAGGTAAAATAAATAAAGAAATAAATTTGAGACCTCAATCATGAAAATCGGTCAGGTAGAAGAGCCAAAGGAACTCGGGAAAGAAAAGCCAAATTTAACTTGCATAAGAAATATATGGGGAGGAAATTTCGTTTACGTATAAGCCGAGTGGGATTATAGATAAATATATGTCGATGCCTAATGGCAAATCTGTGCGTTCATACCTTCAATTTGAGACCTCGATCATAAAAATCGGTCGGGTAGCATAGCCAAACGAACTCGGAATAGAAAAGCCAAATTTTGTTAATAATAAGATAAGCTGCGAAAGCTAATAGACGTCGTGAAATCGTGGATGTCATTCTAAAGTAGTATGGTAGGGTATTTTCAATCAAAAGTTCACATCTAATAATTCCACAATTGATATGCTAGCAGTTAAATTGTTATTATCCAAGATCAATAATCCATACTGTAGTTAGATTATGCAAATAGTTCATAGTTCACATTATGCAAACTTTAAACATCGCTACTAAAGAAGAAGGCGCTTATTAAGTCTTTTCAAATGTCCGCTCCACGTTCCACATAGCATCACTTTCAAAAAACAGCTAGTTTTAATTTTTATTTCTTAACATGATTTAAATTGGCTTGTATGTATTAACGACAGTTTTGTTTGTGGTTTGTGACATAATTTAACACACGCTTACACCTTATGGCAGAGCAGAAAGCTAATCCTTGTTAGCGGAAAGGTACAAAGTACAAAGTACGATGCCTTGGGATTTGTATCAAATAGTTAAGATCAGAGCGGTGCCGGTGCTTACGACTGGGGCGCGATGCATCGACGGGTGACGCTGCGCGGATGCTTTAAAGTAGCCTGAACGCCGACGCCCCACACTACAACAGTTACTCACTTACTCACTCTAACTTTGTCTTTGTTGACTGGGCTTTGCTGAGAACCTACTTAACGATGAAGTATGTTTGGGTAGGTTCATGCTGGGACTCTGGGCTTTGCTGAGAACCTACTTAACGATGAAGTATGTTTGGGTAGGTTCATGCTGGGACGTTGGGTGTTCCCGCCGTGGTTCTGTCCCATCGTGATGGCTATGCAGCACACCTCAGTCATCGTGTCAGTCTACACACTCATGGCTATAGGATTCGACAGGTACCTTGGCTCAACCTTCGATATTGTGAACAGAGATTATCAATACAGGCAATGCAAAACAATTATTTTAACAAGATGTACGTTTGAAAATATTTAATTTATACACATTTACCCAATTAGTTCAGATAAATTGCATGGCAATATTTTTTTTTATTTTCAAGGTCAACATTATGTTAGTAATAATGTTTTATAAATAAAACAAACAATTTTTTTTTATTTAACGTAACAATTATGACACGTGGATTGTGAAGAAATAAATAGCTGCAATAAACGAGTAGATGCATAGATATTGATTTTCGTACACGTGGTTAAGCTCAATTGTGAAGTTGAGCTGTTTTAAAAAGCTTTATCAGGAGTGGAATACACATCAGGCATCAACAATTTAAATTAGAAACCGTTATCTGTAGAATAAAAGCTTTTCAACTGATTCAACATGAACTAAACCAACACTAGGGACTATTATCTTCATACTGTGGTTCGCAACGATTATTAAATAAAGTGTGCTATTGATTCGTTACTTCTATCATTTTAGTATTTCCAGCTAGAAGATATTTTGTTGTTATAATCTTTATTACCTATTCAAATATGATGGAAGGCAAGTCTCTGATACGAGAATGAGTATTATTAACACAAAACAGGGAAGCTTATCTAGTGGTTAGTAATTTTTACACTAAAAAATACATTTCATATTACAAATAACATGATGAAATCCTCAGTATAACGTCGCAGGAGATGTCAAATCTCTCGTGTTATAATTTGACACTAACTCAGCTAAGCTACCCTCGTTGGTTTATTGCTGCAGCTTTGCCAACGTTTTCACCAGTGCTTCAACTCACGTGCTGAAATTTGTTCATAATATTTTATTTATCTATTTAAAAAAAAACAGCATATAAAGACGCATATTGACTACTATAACAAAAATTAATCCAAACAAAGTGTTTCGATTATTTTTTTTAAAGTATCTTAAAATGAAGATACAAAGAAGACATAATACAAATTTGTCGTCTCCTTTATTTGGTAGATCTTTGTTTCTAACGCTTTGATAAAACTAATATATTGTAATAAAATAAACAAAACATCATAATATATAGATTAGAACAGCTTTGTTAATCAAATTTGTATTACTGTATTGAGCAGTAACTAGATTACAAAAAGATATGTTCCATGAAATTTTAATATTTTCTCTTGACGTCTTCCGCCATAATAAAACTCGATTTCCAGACAAACACGTATTATTTTCAAATAAAAGCTTGACTATTTGCCAAAGCTTTGATAAATTTTACTTATAAGTATCAATTTAGACCTTTTTAAAATTATTAATAAAGGAGTTGTATGCATTTCAGGCAACATAGTAGTAAAGAAGAATTTAAGTTTAACCCATTGTTGGTGAAGTAAATCGTGAAAGGCAAAGCACAATGTAAAATGATACACGCTGTCCGAAAGAAAATTCTGTGTCCCTCAATACAGATAATCAACTACTCGTAGAGCACGAGGTTTGAGTTTTACGGTGGATATTTACCTTAGTGAAATGATATACTGTGCAACAGATTGCCTAGTATGTATTCTTATGGGGACGATTTATAGATTCATTAGTATCCTTAATTATCCATAATTTAAATAATCCACAAGTGAAATAGTAAGCGTCAAATTAAAAGAATATATAAACATAATCTACTAAAATAATTTAACGTATTTATTGTATGAGAAACGCAATTCTTTCCAAATGAAATGATCACCAAGCTAAACAAGTGGTATTAAATATAATGTTCCACGATCATTAAAACTGGTGACTTAAACATTCAAGTCACAAGTAATACCCTAAAGCCCCATGTCAGAGACATTTAGAAAATCCGTTTTAACTTATAGATGGATTAGAGAGTAGGGGTGGTATTTAAACGGCCCTTATCCTATCAAAAGTATAACTTAGGACATAAGTGCTTCCTTGTTAGGTATATAAACCCAAATATTTATGGTAGGTAGTATAAATGCAGCTTAAGAAAACGTCGGTATAACATTCTTACTGTACTGCGAGCAAATAGATTTAAATTACTTATCAGTTTTTGTAAACAATTATGGGATTTGTATACAATTAAAAATCTGATATTGCATTTTGCGGACAGATTTGTTGTAATGGGCTGCAGATGTACAATCAGGATCAAAAGATATTTCAAAGATGGCTGGATCTAATATGGTCAAAAACCTCAACCTAAGCCTAAAGTACATTAGTTTAGTATTTAATTTGGCATTTGACTTCCTCTGTTCTTAAAACATCAATGATCTTAGGAAATCATTAATTTCATCATCTATTATTGTTATATTTTTGCCTGAACATGATTAGTTTCGGCCAACTTTTTTTTAGGTATTAAGAAGTATAAAAGCTGACTTCGTAGGCTTCGAGCCAAGTGAAAACGTCAAGTGCTACAATAATTGTGCTATTATGTATACATTTGATGTTTAGATCACAGCAATATTTTTCGTAAGTAAAAATAAAATAAAAGTAAATAGAACTGTTATGTTACGCAGATACAGAGCTATCTGGTATCCCTTCGACCGCCACAGCCGCAATCTACGCAACAAAGTGATCATCTTCTGTATCTGGGTGATGGCGGGTCTTGTGTCTGCCATACAACTCAAGGTGGTCGAGTCTCGCCAGTTCAAATATGACGGAAGGTAAGTCTTACAAAACAGGGAAGCTTATCTAGTCGGGCTTTACGGTTTGCGATGGTATTTTGTTCAAGAGATTGGGGATGCCATCACATTTATGAGGTGGCTTCAGGTTGTTATAAATTTAATCATGTCTCTTGAACTTGATTTTTTACAGGCACACAAGCCACTGTACCAAGCCATAAGGGAGGAGATTGTTTCAACAACATAAAAACAAACAATTTGTATAAAAAACTGTATTCGATTATTTCAATTTGTAGTTTAACTGCTGTAGGTATTGCTGGGTTGAGCTAAAAGGATAAACCAACTAAAAATACATGTGACATTAAAACGTTTTTCCCAATAAAATAAACAAGAAAAAATTAAATAATCATACAATGGTTACACAATAGTTTAATACAATGGTTATTCTGGTTTTTATGTTTTGTCGGTATTACCTTATTAGTAATACCGACGTATGTGGTCGGTTTATGTTTGTGGTATGTAACACTATTAATGCATGTTAATTATTTTGAAATATCACTTAATTGCTTTATTTAGTTTGATTTATATTCTACGCTTTTGAAGTAGTGTTATTACATATGTTTGGTGGTAAAATAGTTGAAAGAGCATCTACACTAGCAGATGTTTAATGAACATTCACTTCTATTCCATCATTGTTTCCCTGGTCTGAACAAACTGTTGGTTTAAGGGGTGAAGTGAGCATTGATGAGTAAAATGTGAGCATTGATGTATTAACCAGAAATGTTCAGAACAGGAGAAAATACTCGCAGAGCAAATAACATTTTACATTGACCAGGTACGCTCTTTGATCCCATCGCTTGTTTTTCCAGCCTTATCCTTTACTAATAACAAAATCCATCATTGGAAAACGCAGGAAGAATATGAAATGACGTAGCCTTCCTGATTCTGGTGCACTAATCCGGTGTGGCCTATATTTTGCCTATAATTGCTTTTAATCCTACCATCTGTTTACCTAGGATGAATCAGGACTGTTCAGAGCGATGGAGCGAGCCTCATCACAGCAGGTACTACACTGTGTTCATCTTTCTGTTCACTTTCTTTATCCCACTGTTTGGCCTCGCCCTCACCTACTCGTCCATCGCGTGGAAGATGTGGCGCAGATCTTCCCCCGGCAACGCCGACCCTGACAGAGACCTCGTCCAGCTGCGTGCCAAACGCAAGGTTTTCAATTACATTATGTTATCTTGGATTAGAAGTTTAAAAATGCAAAGTAATTCAAATCTTGTGTTTGAATATTGTAACAGGTATACATTGTGGCCCAAACCAATATTACCATATCATGAGTATTTTTAATCAATAGCCACAATCAAAAGCCACTTACTATCTTTTTGTATATATAATAATAATATAATAAATATATTTACCTCTAGTATAAGCGTAAATATATGCTTTAAGCGTTTTAAGACGTTTCTTGTATTTACTTTCCATATTTTTAATCGTTACTGTATTTAAAATACATAATCTGACAGAAGTGGTTTACAAGATAAAACAAATATAAAAATGTTTTTTATTAAAAAGCTAAGTGTATTCAGCCATTCCAAATTTAAATAAAAAAGAATTCAATTTTTAAATTATGTCTAGGAGTAATTTATAGGTTTTGATTCTCCAGGGCTTACTATTCAGTATTAATAAATCACAGAAAGGCATCTGTTTGAATACTTACATGAAACAACATTTTATCTTGAATGTTGGAACCTGACATCAATTAGCTTGTTATTAAAATTCCAATTCTCAGTTGAGTTTAATCTACAGTATTTATCGTATTTTTATTTTGACAAATCTGTATGAATTAATTTCAATATCTATAAAAGAGGAAGTAAGGATGTATGTATGTCCGTATATACCCTATGGACTCCGAAACTGCTCGACAGATTTTAATGAAACTTTCAGGCATTATTACGCATTATTCAATGATGGTTTGTGTGAAGTTTGGTGCTACTCCGTGAAAAGGGCTCCACCCCAGACGGTTTTAAGGGGTCTAATGTCAGGCTTTTGGAACTACAATGTTTAAAAATAAACATAATTTAAAAGCAGATGTTTACTTTCACAAACTGTTTTGTAGGTTTGAATAATCACAACGTTCTGTATTAGTCATGATTTAGCATAGTAACACACTGTTTCCACAGAATGCAGCACGGAAAATTATTTTACATTTGGATAGGTCCAAATATATCAAACACCAACTGCAGCACACCTGTGCACTCAACCACGTTCAAATTCCCCACTATTACATAATATATAAGCATAAACAGTAAAAACCTTTATCAAAGTATTATAAACAATAACAGGGATGGCAATGCCATTATATTTCTGTCTTTCGTTGTATACCCACACAATCCAACATAAATTATTAAGTGAATAATAATCGTGCGTGCTATCTCAGGTATTCAAATGCCTCTCAATCTGTCATCAACCCATTAATTACTGTCATTAAAAGAAGGAACCCCAATAATACCAATGCGAAACTTAAATCCACTTAATCTGTGCAACGGATCAGACTGACGATTAAAAAATGACACCAATCTTGATCGAATCAACAATCATCAGTGGTAAGTTTAAAGGAGAAATAGTCTCAATCCCAAGAATACTGATGATTTAATCCAAATTGCCTTTTGAATTCTAGCGACTACAATTTCATTTGCGTGTTGCTTTCGCAATCACAATTATAATGAACAAGGGCAATCCCTGACTATCGCCGGTTTAAATTTAGTAAATGCATGCTTTTCACACGGACAGCTGTATGTTGCGTGCTCATGTGGTGGTAGGAGAGCCTAGAAACTTATATACTTATACACCTAATTAAAAAACAAAAAAATATTGTTTATACACTGGCAATTAAGTAAAAAATATCATATTTTTGTTTTTGGTATAATTTTGTATTATTTATTGTAATGAACAAATTGCCATTTAATATAATAGTTGTTAGTGCAGCAACACAAGCCAGGTAGATTATTTTACTTTTGTTACAGGTTATAAAGATGCTGGTGACTATAGTTGTCCTGTTCTCTCTGTGCTGGCTGCCTCTACAGACGTTCTACGCTATCTACGCCTTCTTCCCTGACTTTGCTAACTCTCAGACTGACGCATCTCGACTAGTCTACGTCTTGTCCTACTTTGGTTGTTTGTGGCTAGCAAATGCAAACAGCTTCGTCAACCCACTCATATATTGTTTTATGAGTGAAAATTTCAGAGTGAGTAAAAACTGAAATTATTTGCTATTATATCTTATCAAAATTATTTCAGCTAATTGAAAAAAAATAATATTTCAGCGTTTTGGTTTTCTTAAATTGCTAGAAAATGATTAATTTTTCGATTCACTTCATCGCATGACCTTGTTTTCTTAGGCTGATCTACGAGACATGGTTTGGAGAGTGTGGAGGAGAAACAACTCACACAACCTACATGGAGGATCCATTAGAAGCTCAACTAGGACTACCATATGTATGACACACCACAACTCAGGTAGACATCATCAAAATCATCATCATTAGATAAAAGATGAACATAGCAAATGTAAGACAAACCAAAACTTTTATCATCATAAAGTACCATCATTAGATAAATACAAGACATGATAATGTGACTATAAAAAAATCACTCAGCATCACAATAACTATGTCATTGGAGTACAACACATTAACACTCAGACAAACATCATCATAATCCTCATTGTAAATGGATAAAATATTAGGGTTATTTTGCACGGCAACTTCATTAGTTATTATTGTTACTGTTAGATTTCAGGTCAAACACATGAAGGATTGTATTTCAGTCACGTATCGTTGTGGGCAAATGTTACTTCTACAAAATTGCTGAATACTTTGTATACAACATAAGTATACGATATCGATGTAGCAATATATTACGAATAAAAATACAAAGATAAAGTGATGATATAAGTGCATAACAACTGTATTTGCTGCCGATATTATCAAATTTATTTTTCAATTAAATTAGGCTAAATTAAAAATCTAAAATGTTTGTTCCACATGAATAATTATTTTCTATATTAACTGTGCTGTTTTTTACAGATTACTCAAGGTCTTTTAGAAGATCTCAACGTGACATGTCATTCAAAAGTACAACATTTGAGAAAAATGCTGATTACCGAAGATATAGTAATGTTCATTCATATTTGTAAAATGAATTAAGAATAATGTGTAAGAAACTACAGGGATTTGGTCATGTTCAAGCTATATGAAACTTTTATAATATTGGTGTGAATTTATAATCCGGACAAAATTGATATGATTATCTTACTACAAGTGGTCATTGTCACACTAGAATTTAATAAGTAATTAATTTCATACTATGAGTTTAAATAGTGATTTTCCCTCCTCAAATTTATAAAGATATTACCAAAGTATTACATTTTATTTTGTTTCAACTTTGAAGCTAAAATACATTACATGGAGTGTAATGCACTAAAAGCTTCTCGACCGTTAGCTTCATTTTATGATTTATAGTAGTTTATGATTTATCTCTTATAAAACAGGAAAATATGTTAGTCATACACATTACTTATGAACAGAAGTTTGAGAAGGCTACATTTTAAAATTAGCGTCAATATTCAGTTTACCCTTTGAGTTTATTTGAAGTGTCCTGATTTCACTTTATGAAAATGTATTTTGTTCTTGATAACTAGAAGTAGGACAATAATATAAATAATGTATAGCTAAAACCAATGTACAACTCAAACATATTGTAAATGTCATGTTTCTAATTTAAATAACAGTGTATACATTTGGTTTTGTCATTAGCTTCATATTCCAGTGTTGGTTTGATCTTACAAAACAAGATATATTGCTGTGATGGAAATGTGAATATTTGGTCCTAATTAGATTGATGTATTTTTGTACTGTTTGATGTTAATAAAATGAAGTTGAAACAGCAAGTAAGTCTTTAAAAAATGGCATTTTATAACCAAGCAATCATGCAGTTACTAATTAACCAAGCAAGATTACAAGCCATGTTGCAGTTCCTCAATTCCTGTGTATCAATAATTGTTTCATGGCTGGGGTTTGGCATGTAGTGCGTCAGAAGCTTTTTGTTGGTTCAACACTGGACCCAGCTGTTCCTGATCATTGGGCTTTTAATAAATGATCCTGGCTATTGAATCAGCTGGTCTTAGTCAGTAACAAAGCTACGCAGATCACCTCAAACCATTCTACACTCAACCTTAAATCATATTTGAATTGAAAAACTCACACAAATTTAACACATGGTGGCGTCCCCATCTCAATGATTGATAATTGATTGGCAATTAATAATTGATCATTGAGGTAGTAATCAGTCAGTGGCTTGTTTCCTTTTTAGTAGATTTTCCATATAAAATACTACAACTTAAAACAATGCCGCAACCCAGACCTCAAATGGACAATCGAGGCAAAAATGACTGCTGTTCAAATATTCAATAAACTTGCTATCTAGTTGTACGATACCTCAGGGGGAGCCCGCTAGAAGATGGAAGAACAAAATAAACTTAAGAATAGGTCAATATACTTATTAAACAAAGGTTTTTATTGGTAGAATACAATACAGCAAACATAAGCTAAAAAAAAAAAAACAATTAAGTAAAACTTGGGATCCGTTTAAAGATTCAAAATAGTAGATTCATGAAATCTTTGAACGGCTGCCATTTTTTACTCCATTGTCCATTGGAGGTCCGTTTCACGTCATTGTTTTTATACTACTAGATCCATTATAAGTTAATAGGTGCTGTTACGAAATTTATTTTGAACTTTTGTACTTACAAAGTAGATATGAGCAATGACGAAGCTGGGATAGAGTAAAATTAATGTATTTGAATTGACATAAAAAATGTAATCCGTCAATAAAGGATAAAGGCCACTTGTACATATTATACACATCCTGTAAAAATGCTAAAATTAAAACTAAAATATGTAAATAATACAAATGTTTAACTAAATTCATTGACTTTCTTACGAATGTGTGGCTATTGACAAACAATGTTAAATTGTATGGAGTATGGATATTGATGTATAAATATTGGACTTTAGCTATTTGTATTCGGGATAAATATGATAACTGGCAAGTCGGTGACTGGAATCTATGTCAGCAGGTCATGGGTTCGAAACCTTGTGCTTACCGCAAAATGTTATAATTACAACTAGGCCTACTTTTGTAGGCATACTTTACCAGTTCACCCGTTGTTTTACTCTATAATTTCCACAGAGAGGTCCGACACTAATGTGAATGCAAATGTGAGGTTAAAAATAAAAAAAAGGTTAAAAAAGGCGACCAATATGGTATAAGAAAAAAATATTGTCATGGAATTTCTTTATTTCCTCTCTTGTAGGGAGCCAATGGTGCAAACATATGTTTCACCATTACAACTTTATAGTAGGTAATACAAAAATTACAAATACGTCTATTATATTTCAGAAATTCTATTTGGTTACACATTACTTACTCACTTTAAATGTGATTTTGATATAAATCCAACTGGTGGAACGTGAATATAAATAAAATATTGTATCACACTATGAAGGGAAAAGAAGTGTCTTTCAAAACAGGAATAAAATTATGTTATCCACCAATCTAACCAAGAATAATAAAAATGAAATATGTAAGAAAGTTTGGGAGATATGCAAAGTTTGGTTTAACGTAAACTTTCATGCTTAAGGTCTTTGGTTTTTTTATATGCATAAAATTACGAACATGTAATAACGCTTTCCTATTCATTGAATGATCTAAACAATACATTTTAGCCAGTTTACAGGTACATAGTAATGTTTACTAGCGTATGCACCACATTGTACATAATTGTTGACATGGCTAGCCTGCGTCGCAAGTGATTAGGCACCTTATACCAATCCTAAACGGATTACTTCAGTATTAGTAAGCCTTTTAAATGATTTATTATCAACACGGTCGCAGGCCTTAAGATAATCCGATACACCAAAATTATATTCATACTAATATATTTGAGTCCATCACCACTTGTAAAGATCTTATCTCTTACTGAAAAAAACATCTTAATAGATAAAGCATAATAAGTTGAAAAAATTTTTATTTTAAGAAATAAAATTTTCTTGTGGGAGTAACCCACATCACCGCCAATAATTATATATATTGAGGTAAGAGTCAACCCCATCGGCTGATCCAAAGGCAGGCAGACAGCTCTAGTCGGACCGAGACATATAGACATAGACATAGACATATTTTATTCATGAATTAAGTACAAATTATACAATGTACATCTCAATCGTCAAATACATTATAATGGTATAGTAGCATTTAAATCAAAACGAAAAATTATTTAAATAGTTAAATCTATTTTATTCTAAAGATTTAAACAAATAAGTCAAATAAAAATGCCATGTTGAATGAGATCAGGCAGACAGGAATTCTTCGGTACTGTAAAACTCACCTTCCACCAAATAATTTTTCAGTAGTTTCCCAAAACCATTAGAACCCAACCTTGAACTGCACTGCTTTACTTCTTCAGGAAGCCTATTAAAGAAAAATGGGCCCGAAAAATTTGCATTCCTTTCAGAAAGGGTCAGACGATGACATGGAGTACGAAGATCTTCTCCATGCCTAGTGGGGTATCTATGACATTGACCAACCGATGGAATATCCTTCAGATGATTTACTGCAGACATTATTGCTCTGTAGATGAATATAGAAGGCAAAGTTAAAATGTTGGTTCAACTTGCAACAAAGCTGTGATACATGATTGGACCATGACAACATTTTATCCACAGTTAGACCTAAAAATTTCACAACAGAGCACTCTTCTATCTCGAACTTATTCAACGAGACGGATTCAGGAATCTTATTGAGAGTTAGGAATTGCATGAAAACGGACTTATCGGAGTTAAGTCTAAGATTGTTCAGCGATAACCAACTTAAAAGTGAACTAACTGACTCTTCAACTCGAGATTGCAAATTGGAACATGGACCTCCAAACAGTAAGGTTGTGTCATCCGCATAGAATATTGATTTAGCTGAATGAAGATGTGCTGATAGATCATTAATATACACGATAAAAAGCAATGGTCCGAGAATACTACCCTGAGGAACCCCGAACTTGCATTCAGCGAGATGCGACCGAAATCCTGAAATCTCAACAAATTGCATTCTATTTGAAAGATACGATCGGAACCAAGCTAGTGGAACTCCTCGAACACCATATTTTTCCAGTTTCTCACAAAGAATATTGTGATTAACTGTATCGAAAGCTTTCGAAAGATCACAGAATACACTCAGGGCTGGTTTGCGCTGTTCAAGGTTGGATAATACATCCTGAACAAACTCAACAATTGCTTGAGTGGTTGAGCGACCCGCTCTGAAGCCATATTGGTTTTGAATGAGAATGTTATTCATGTCTAGATGATTCATTAACCTGGAATACATAATCTTCTCCATTACCTTTGATAAAGTGCAAAGAAGAGCAACCGGCCTATAGTTGTTAACATCGCATTTGTCACCTTTCTTGAAGACCGGGACAATCTTTGCTGTTTTGTAAATATCGGGGAAAATACCTGATGACATGGAAGCATTAAACAGATAAACTAAAGGGTCTAAAATGGATGTGTACATTTGCTTTAAAAGAGAGCTGGATATTTCGTCAGAGCCTGTAGATGTTTTTGATTTAAGCGATTGAATTGCTTGCTCTATCTCTCTGGAAGTAACTGGAGACAAAAACAAAGAATGCATTGGAGGGGTCTGCTGGACAAGATTGACTGCAGTAGACGATTCACCAAATGTAGATCCAACAAAAGAACCTGAGAAATGTTTCGAAAAAAGATTTACTACTTCAGAAGGTGACTGAACCAATGAATCCTGGGATTTTAAGATGGGAAAAGAAGAAGGTTTCAACTCACAGGTCTCTCTACGAACAATATACCAAAGGGCCTTTTGCATGCAGTCAGCTTTCTCTAATTCACATGAGATATCTGTACGTTTTTCCTGAATCAAAAGCCTCCTGAACAGTTTTTTTCTCTCTTTCAAAAGTGCTTTCAAGGCTGGATCCTTAGTATTTCGCACGAGAATACCCAAATCGACATTACTATTGGCGAAATCTTTCAACTCCTTACTCAATGGTTTTTTGTTTCTCCCCCTTTTATTCTTAATTTTCTTTAAAGGAAATGATCTATTAAAACATGTTTGGACAATAACATGAAAAAATTCGAATTTACTGTTCACTTCATTGACCTGGTGTAATCTACTCCAATCTACCTGAGACAAAATTTCCTTAAAATTAGAAATATTACGTTTACAGAAGGATCGTTTCTTAACAAATAATTCTGTTGGTTTGCAATTGGTTCTTATTGATACTAGCTGAGAATCATGATCTGATAATGTGTTTATAAATGAACGACATGAAACTATTTCATTGTTTAAATTGGTAACAACATTGTCAAGGAGGGTTTCACTGGTGTCAGTGATTCTAGTGGCATGATTAACTAATTCACGTAAATTGAAAGATAAAAAGATATTTCTTAGCTTCTCAATGCTTGGATTAACAGAATTAAGAAAATCAATATTCCAATCTCCACACAGTACAATTAACATATTATTTTTCAATAGATGATGAATTAGATGAATTAGAGACTAGCGCTCCAACCGGAAAAGACCAACTGCCGGCAAGCAGGTTTGTCTTGGATCCGTCGCCGAAGAAGAAGGAGGTCCTGATCCTTGGTCAACAGTTGGTAAAGTACCGATAATGTCTAATTAGTTGTAATCTTTTGGGGGATAAAGGGGGGTAAGGGGAATCATATCTTTTTCTAAATTAGACCAAGATCAACCAACAATAAATTAATTCAAGTAACTAAATTAAACTTTACAGTTATCGATATCATGTTTAGGGCAAGTTGCT